CAGAAATTGGGCTGGACAATCCAATGATACATTTATGACTGAACGGTTTTTCCTTTCTCCCCTGCAGATTATTTTAGAAAATTATTTTCCTATATGATGAAATCTTTGATAGATCTTTAAGCTTACTAACTTTATGTGTTATGTACATACTAAACTGAAACAAGATCTAGCAGATGGGGCATTGAACTAGGAAAACTTGCATTCAAATCCCTTCTCAGATCCTTCCTAGCTTATGAAACCCTGAGCAAGTAATTTAATCACTCTGTACCTCACTTTCTTTATCTACAGAATGAGGAAAGTGAACTGGATAACCTCTAAGAAATTGCAAAGGGAGGACACAAAAGTGATAACATTGTAGATTTGGAGATAGAAAGGATCTTTGAAAAGACTGATATGAGAAAGAAGGGGAAATAGTCATTCAGAAACTCTCTGGTTTAATTCTGTTGTAATTACTTTTTTTCTTTCTCAGTATTTATTTGTTCTGAGAGGCAGCATGGCATCCTGGATAGAGAACTGAACTCAAAGTGAGAAAGATCTGGATCATAGAATCGTAGATCTAGAAATAGAAGAATTAAAGTCCTACCTCTGACTTCTAATCCTTGGGTGACCCTTGGCAAGTCAGAGAGTTGCATGGGGGTGCTATCAGTTAAAGAGCATCTGTAGATCTTCACAAATAGAAGGTGTTTCCTCATCAGGGAATTCTCTGTGCCAATTAAATCATAAGTCTGGCTCAAAAATAAAAAAAGGATCTCTTATTGGCTAGCCACTGTGCTGGCAAAGATATAAAGACAAAACCAAAAATTATCCCTGTCCTCAAAGAGCTTACATGCTAATGGAAGAAAACGTTAATGTTTATTCACTTTAAACATAAATAATTAAATATATTAAATAGCAATTTCTTATGCCCTAATCATATAGAACAATACATGTTTTTTGCATTTCAGGATTGTAAGAAATAGAATATGGTACATTATTCCATTGTCAATTACATGTTTATTCTCACTATAGGCTGGAATGACCCTTACCTATGATCCAACCACAGCTGCTTTACAGAATGGGTATGTATTTAAGATACTTTAAGGCAGAAGTTCTTAACATTTTTAGCTAATGAGCCCCTCTAATAGTCTGGTAAAACCTATGAATGCCTTCTCTGAATGTTTTCCAATGCACACGTGTGTGTGTGTGTGTGTGTGTGTGTACATATTTATATTGAAATGCAGTTGTCAATTTTTTAGAAACAAATTCTATACCTCAGCCTTAGAACTCCTGTTTTAACAGGAAATAGGAGGGGTGAAGGACTCTACAGAGTTTTGCCTAGTAAATGATAAAAATGTACAGCATTATTTAACAAAGGCTTTTCATTTGTTCCAGATTTTATCCTTCACCTTACAGTATTGCTACAAATCGAATGATCACTCAAACATCTATTACACCTTATATCGCTTCTCCTGTTTCTACATACCAGGTTTGTGCTTTCTGGCTTCATAAGCATCATCCCATTGACTTATGGAATCAAATTTGTTGCTACATTGGTTTTTATAAATCTTTAAAATTGGGGTCAGTTATAATGTAAATTATTTTTACACAGCACAAGTGTCTCTTGAAATGCATGTATGTCATAGTGGATAAAAGGACATGACCTTGGAGTCAGGAATAGCTTGCCTCTGACACATCCTGGCTCTGTGACCCTGTGCATTTTAACCTCTTGGTACCCCCATGAAACTCTTTAAGGTGGTCGATAGTTGCTGTTCTTCATCGTTGTACAGAGATTTTCCTCAACCAGGGAGCTCCCTATGCTGATAAATCACAGTTCTAGACCAAAAAGAAGGTATTTAATTAAGAATAAATTGCCACTATTTTGCAGAAGAGTGATGACCTGTGCATAAATTGTCATTAGGAGGCATAGGGAATGTGTGCTAGATGTCCTATCAATGATTGAAATTTCAAGTCTGGTAGGGATCTTAACTATCTACAGTACTAGACAGCCCTTACTTTCACAAATATGCATATTCTTCTTAGAGTGAATCAGTTCAAGAAAAACCTTCTTTCCTTGCTACAAGCAGTGTTGCTTTCTCCCCTTGTTTAAAGAGCTAGTGAAAGGGATAAGGGGTAGAATATGCATGTCTTTGTTAGTCAGTGTTAAATGAACAGTTGTGAAATGTAAAAGTGACCCAAGGGGCAGCTAGGTGGTGCAGTGGATAGAGTAACAGCCCTGAAGTTAGGAGGACCTGAGTTCAAATCCAGTCTTAGACCAAACACTTGACACTTGCTAACTGTGTGACCCTGGGCAAGTCACTTAACCCCAATTGCCTAAAAAAAAGTGACCCTAAAAAAGGCTGTATCTTAAAAAAAAATCCTATTTAGAAATTGACTAAAATATATGCCTATTAATTCATTTATACTGAAGGTCAAATAACATCCCCCATGGACACAGTGATTTTCAATCAATTTCTCTCACTTTTATGCAGAGCATCTGTTTTCCTTAGCCTTTTTTGTTGATGTTGTTGTTCTAATGGGGGTTCTACTGTTAAGTATCTTGGAAGTACAATATATGATTAACATCTATCTATCCTAGGTGAAACTGAAGGGTGGATTGTTCAGAATGGAATATCCTAGTGGTAGGTTTGAGGAGGGTTTTTGACCAGGTTAATGGGCTGTCAGGAAAGTGTAGCAGCAGACCGTTACTATCAGGAAGGTTTAAACAATAAAAATTGCCCTGGAAAGCAGGTGGTGAACATCTGTGGAGTAGGACATCTGGTACCCTGCCTCTGGGGCTCCTCCCTCCCTCAGATTGGAGAGATCCTTCCTTTAAGGAGGAAGCCCAAGGCAGCTGTCTCATAATTTCCCACCTGGCTGCACTCCTGGACTTCATCATCATCATCATCATCTTCAGAAACTCATCTTCCAGCAAGGTCACATCAACTTTGGAAGTCATACTTCCTCAGTATCCCCTGCCCTTAGGGCCCCATCTTCCCAATGATTGAAGAAGGTGAAGGCAGAACATCAGAGAACCACCCCAAATCCTTTATTGGAGGGGGCCCAGACCAGTTAACTCATCATTTCCTATTTTTCTGCAGGGCTTCATTATACCCTGTGTGGGGAACCCTTCCACCTACCTCTTTGAACTTCTTTTTTCTGTGTTGTCCTCTCCTATTAGAGTGTGAACTCCTCAAGGGGAGGGACTGCCTTTTGTCCTTCTTTGTATTGCTAGTGCTTTTTACAGTGCCTGGCACATAGCAAGTGCTTAGTAAATATTTATTCACTACCTATAGCAAGGATCTACTCCCCAGAGAATTGGCTTGTTGGGTCAGGACACTGTGCCTTGAGGTGACTGGTGAGAAAAAGGTAGGGTTCTTGTCCCAGAGGAACAGGGATATGGGATAGAATACTAAGAGAGGTACAGTATATCACAAGACAAAAACACAAGATGAGGGTAAAAGGTAGAGGCTTAGTGCTCAGGGCAGAAGACAAGTGCTTCAATGATGATATGAAATCAAAGGAGGATCAGCAGCAAAGGTGATTTGCTTCTGACCTATAGATCCAGAAGACCTTATATTTCCCCTTTCTAAGGGCTAGCTTGGTTCCAAGTTGAAGACTGTGTTAGCTCTGCATGTATGAATCAAATAATGCCAGCTGAAGGAATGTAAGGGGGGAAATGCCAGACCAGTCATTATATTCCCTAACGTCTTAACTTTCTATTGTGCTCTTTGGAACTCCTTTTCTGTTATAAATAAATTTTCATACATCCTCAGGCCTTTCTTCAGGTTTTATGTCTCTAAGAAGTTGTATTTTGGGGGGCAGCTAGGTGGCGCAGTGGATAGAGCACCAGCCCTGGAGTCAGGGGGACCTGAGTTCAAATCCGGCCTCAGACACATAACACTCACTAGCTGTGTGACTCTGGGCAAGTCACTAAACCCCAATTACCTTGCCAAAAAAAAGAAGTATTTTTCAAGAGATAGAATATTGCTGGCAAACCCATCCAATGGTAGCTTTTTAATCTATTCTCCCTATCAGGATATAGGGATTGGCTTATTCCTAGCTCCCTATAGTCTCACTGCCACTTCCTGACATCATTCGGTTTCTCTCTTGAAACTCTTGCCATCACATTCTGCCCTCTTTTTAGCATAGCCATCTATCTATTAAGAAATGCTCCAACTTTACTTAGTTTAGTATTTTTTAGTGCTTGATTGATATTCTTTCTTCCTCTCTACCACAAGATTCACCATCATCCTTGGTGATTTTAATAGAAGTGCTAATGACCCTTCCAATATCCTGATCTCACAATTCTTTGATGTCCTCAATTCCAATTACCTTCTTTACTCAGTTTTAACCATCCACCAGTATGGCCACACATTAGACCACAACTGTCAATTCAAAATGTTAAGCTGTGAAATTCCCTTCTCTGACCACAATCCCTTGCCCTTCTGCTTTTCTCATCTTTTTGCTGAACCTACTCTTTATCCTCATTGTAATCTTAAATCCCTCTACCCTTCCGTTTCCTTCCAGTTTGTCATTCTGTTATGGCTTCTCCTACCTCTCTACTTAGCCTAGAGCTCTTATTAAAGTCACAAAGTCATGTGATTTCGTCTATTATAAATGTATGCTGCTTAACCCCTCCTGGGCTTCATTGAACTCAGTAATCTTTTATTCATGTCTCATCACATCTCTTGCCCACAATATCTTTTTCAAAACTCTCCTTTCTCTTTAAAGCTCTGATCCTAATTCCCAAATAGACATGCTTGAAAGATCACCTATTTTACTAAAAAGTTCAAAGCCATCTAACTTAAGATCCCTCAAATCCCCTTTTCCTGACTTCAAAAGTTCTTCATCTCAGCAAAGAATTGGAAACTGAAGGGGTTCCCATCATTTAGGAAATAGCTGAACAAGCTATGATATATGAATGTAGTGTAATATTATACGCTGTAAGAAACGATGAAGGTAACAGTTATAGAGAAGCCTGGGAAGATTTATATGAACTGATGCAAAGGGAAGGGAGCAGAACCAAATGAGCAGTTTATACATTAACAATATTGTAAAGACAAACAAATCTGGAGACTTAGAATCTCTGATCAACAACATAAGCAACAACAATTCCAGAGGACTCACGATGAAATATGTTACCACCTCCAGATAGATTGAAGCATATATACATATGTGTAATGTGTATGTGCTGGAATTATTTTGCATTACTATGCATATATGTAATGGGTTGTGTTTTTCTTGCTTTCTCAATGGATGGGGGAGGTGAAAGTANATATGTGTAATGTGTATGTGCTGGAATTATTTTGCATTACTATGCATATATGTAATGGGTTTTGTTTTTCTTGCTTTCTCAATGGATGGGGGAGGTGAAAGTGAGAGAATTTGGAAGTGAACATAAAATAAAATTGAATTTTTTTTAAAAATTCTGCATTTTTATCCATTTCTTTTTACTTCCTGGCTGACAGGAAGACATGCTCTTCTTTGCCCATTCGCCTGAGTTATTTTTTTTTAATTTATTCTATCACTTGCCACCTTCACCAGGACCTTGTTAAAATAATTATCCTTTTTCTTTTTTGAATCTTCAATCTCTTCCTCCCCCCTGTATCCTTCCCCACTGCCTACAAATATGCCAAGTTTCCCATACTCAAAACAAAAACCACCACAATCACCCATTGACATTGTTATCCACCTATCTCTACTAACCACCATCCTATCTCTCCTCTTTCACTGACAAACTTCCTGGATGAGAAGTCTATACTCTGTATCTTCATTCTCTCACCACTCAGCTACTCCCCAACCCTTTACAATGTGGCTTCTGTCCATCACTCTCCAGGAAGTGATTTCCTCCAATCACCACTGACTGCAGTCTCACAGTCCATTGCTCTTTTCTTAGACTTTATCCTCCTTAATTTCTGGGCAATATTTCACATTATCAAATATCCCAGGCAATTAGGGGACATGGTCATTATAGTGCTAGACTTGCAGTCAGAAAGACCAGAGTTAGAATTCTCAGACACTAATTGTATGACCCTAGGCAAGTCGTTTAAACTTGTCTCAGCCTCAGCTCCCCATCTTCAATGGAGAGAGTATGGACAGGGTAATCGTGAGATCAAATGAGATAATAAAAGTAAAGTGCTCTGTGTACCTTAAAGAACTGTATAAATGGTAGCTTTTATCTCCTCCTTTTTTTCCTTATAATCTTCTCTTGGCTCCCATGACACTACACTCGGCTGATTCTCCTTTTACCTCTCTAATCTCCACTTCTCTAAGTTAATTCTTCTTGGTTCCTGTGTCATCTGAGTGTTGTGGATCCCCAGAATTCTAAGTCCTGTGTCTCCTCTCATTACACCCTGTTCCTTAACAATTTCATCTATTATCTTGATTTTAATTTTCAACCTCCACGTAGTTGACTTGCAAATTCAGTGTCCTTTCTCTCTCTCTGTGTCTATGTCTGTCTCTCTCTGTCTGTCTGTGTCTGTCTGTCTGTCTGCCTCTCTCTCTCTTTCTCTGTCTTTCTCTCTTTCTTCCCTCCTCTCACTTTAGTCACTTTGCCTTGTATTTCCAATGACCTATTACATATCATAATTTTTATGTCTGGCTAGTACCTGAAATTAAGCATGTATAAAGCCAAACTCATATTTCCTCCAAAACTTTTTCTTATTTCTGACTCCCTTAGTCATATTTAATAGTACCATTATTCTTTCAGTTACCCATGCTCTTAACCTCTGACTCAACTTTGCCTTCTCCATAACTCTTTGTTCCACGTCTAGTCCCTTGTAAGTCCCATCAGTTCATGTGTAATAATTCTCATATATGTCCTTCCCTCATTTCCATCACCATCCTTGCTCAATCCATCCTATAACTGATGTCAGAGTAATCTCCTAAATATGTAGATCTGCTCACATCACTTCTCTTCTAAAAAATCTTCAGTAGTTTCCCAGTTCCAAACAAGTAAAGTCCAGGTTCCTTAGTTTTGCATTCCACTTATGTTGTTTCCAATCTAGCTTTGGAGCTTTATCTCACACCACTTCCCTTCATGTACTATGTACACTTAAGCAACCTGGAATACTCACCATACTCCAAACACGTCCCGTGCTTTCTTACATCTGTGTTTTTGCTTATACAGTTCCCTGTACCTGGAATGCTCTCCTTTTCTCCTGTTAGACTTCCTTTAACACTTAGCTCACACATTGCCTCTTCCAGGAAGCCATTCTTGATTCCTATATCAATCTCATTATTCCTCCAAACTTCTCACAGCACTCTGTTTGTCCTCCCAGAGCTTATAGTCTAATAATAGAAATAAAACCATTATGCAAAAATCATGATACAAAACAGAATATGATAAATGCATAAGAGAAAGAGACTGGGTCTTATTATTTATCTCCCCCATGCCTAGCGCATGGCTGTGTATTTAACAGTTTAATTTTTTTTTTGTTATAGAATGATGGGAGGGAGAAATCAATGAATTATTTCAAATACTTATACTAGTATTTCAGTTTCCTTCACACACAGAAGATATTCGATAAATGATTGTTGAATGGGATTCCACTATGAAGTCTATATTAACTACTCTCAACTTTTTTTTGTAAGACTTAATAAGAATTATAAACAAACACTGCACTTAGGTGTTTTTCTCATAATTATTTACACAGTTTAATCTCTAAAAGGACCTTTTTTTCTTTTATCTTTACTAAGAAGGTCTATTATTTTAAAGTATATCACTGCAAATGGAGATAAGAAAAATTCCATAAGTATGTTTCTCACATGTATTATAGAATTAATTCTCAAATAAATGAAAATATACAGGAGTGTAAATCATTCCAGTTGATAACATTTAGAACCATTAAAGTATCTCCCCACTACTTTGTTTTTGTTTTAAAAGTGCATTTTGGTCACCAGATAATTTAATAAGACAAAAGAATTAATAAAAAGGTGTCAATAGTAGAACTGATTAGAAACAAAACACTTTCCTATGACTGCTACCCTATGTATTATTTTATTCTGAGTATCTTATTCTTCCCTAAAACGCATTTTTCATTTGGCATCTAGAGAACTACATTTGAAAACGTGGTGGAAATAAAACTTTCTTATTATTTCATACATTGAACAGAAACTCTGGCTAATGTTTCCCATTTTATACCTGAAAAAATTAAGAAACAGAGAATTAAAAGACTAATGCTAATTTGTTGTTTGAATTTGAACAGAGATTTGATATTGAACAGCGATTTGATATTGTAGCCCCTGACTTGGCAGCCTTCTAATTCTCTCAATCCATTGAACCATAGTAAAAATGGAAGGATCTGGCCCAAATTAGCTCCTGTAGCTATTAGCCTCTGGATGAACTACAACAGTGAAGGTTCTGCAATTACAAGCAATTCATGTCAGATTAGACCTTTCCCCATCAAACTACCATGAACAGCAACTGGATTTGAGAAATTGGCATCAAGGAGACACCACCAATACCCTAATGGGGAAAAGGCTCCATTCCAGATAACTTAATGTTAATAAGCCAGAAGCACTTAACTTTAATCAGCCTTAGCTGGGGAACAAAGACAGAGCAAATGAATCTTAGGGCCTCATTACCAAGTTAATCTCAAAACACTTTGCCCACAGCCATTCACAGACCTTCTAATTTTAGGTAATGAGAGTGGAGTGGGCTGTAGAAGGGGTTTACTCTTAAGAAAGAAGCTTAGAAGCAACTTGAGCATGTATATAATCAAGGAAGCCTTTGGAATCAAGAGGGGATTGCTTGGTTTTTTCATGATGGATAGAAGCAATGTGGAACAGTAGATAAGGCACTGGACTTTGAGTCAAGACCTGGATTCAGATGTGACCTCGAATATTAGCTATGTGAACCTGAAAAATCACTGAGTCTGTCTGTGAATGAGTGCTTGGACTCTATGGCCTAAAAGAACTCATTTAGCTCTAATTCTATGAGCCACTTTTCTTGCTTGCTTTAGAGACTGAATCTAGAAACTTGTGGTACTTGCACAATCCAGAGCCTTGGCCATAAGGCTTCAGAGCTGTATTTCAGAGTTTAAATTCTTTCTTAAGCACAGATTCTTAGTTTCTGGAGTGATTAGAAATCATTGATAATTAGGAGTGATTTCAGAAGCATTCCTCACTTGATAAGGGAACTTGACATCAGCTGTTTTTATCAAAGCAAACATACTTGCATGACTAGTTTATGTTGAGGTGTAATGTGTCGGTTGTCAAAATCAAACATGATGGGAGGGGGCAATGTTTGTGCATTTACAGTGAGCAGTTCTTCAAAAATTAATTGTGTTAAGCATTCAAAATGAATATAACCAACAGAAGTCTCAAATAATAATATATGTCACCAGGTGATCTAGGAATGAGTATCTTGCACGTAGGTACTCAACAGATATTTTTTCTAATGAATAAAAGTGAATGAATGCAGATAAACAGCAAGAACTTGAAGAGATTTGTGATTTTTTCCCTCTGGTTTAATTAAAGCTGGTTCAATAAATGTTATGTATTTTGGGGAAGAAATGTTTTTGGATTACACACATCAGAATCTCAAAATCCTCTGAGATAATGTTGAATACATATCTTGGCTGGGGTGGGAAACCAAGGGTGAAATCACTTATATTAATATAATTTTAGGGCCTAGTTTTTCCCATCATGTGCCATGCTTTAAATTGTATACACCGTCCTGGAAACTTCAGCCTACTTGCTTAAGTGAGTTCAGAGTCAATACTGTTGCTGTGAGCTCAGGAAGGATAAAGTAAATAAAACCAGTACAAGAAATAAAATTTTCTTTATAGTGTATTTAGAGCATTGAAATACTTTAATGGTATCTAAATGTAGACATTAAAAAAAAAAACACTTTCTCTTCTGTGTTGTTTCTTCTTTCTTGTGATTCCTCCTATTGGTTCTAATTCTTCTTTACAACATGACTAATATGAAAATATGTTTAATAGGAATATATATATGTAGAGCCTATATCAGATTGTATGCCAGCTTGGGGAGGGAGGCAGAGAAAGAGAGGGAGAAAATTTAAAACTCAAAAGCTTATGGAAGTGATTGTTGAAAACTAAAAATTAATTAATTAAAAAAACATTTCAAGGGATCCAGAATGGATCTGCAAATAACTAATAGTATTATTTCAGTATTTTTTGTTGGAATATGTTTTTATTTTTTAAACAGTACTAGATGAATCAGGTGTCAGTGAAAATCAGTAAATATGTTTTGTTTTGTTTTTCAAAATGCCTTTTTTCTTTTATAGGTGCAGAGTCCGTCGTGGATGCAGCCTCAACCATACATCTTGCAGCACCCTGTAAGTTTCTCTTTTTATTTCTGTAACATGTTCTTGGGCAAACTATTGCACGTGGACAATATTGGAATCTGGAAAATGTGTTTACATACAATGAAAATTAATAATAATGTTCTGTAATACACACTGTCATGTCTTAATTTGATTTTTTAAAAGAGATAAGAGTCAAATTAAATTTCCCATTTATAAAAATATAAGAGGTTTCACATTTGAGGAAATCGTACTTTATTCTGCTCTTTTTTCCTCAACTGAATTTATTTGAATAGCAAAATTTATCGTGATACATATAAGCTTTATACTTATATATGTTACATACTTATGTATGCTTAGTGTTACATCAGATGTAACAGCTCTTATTATAATGAATACTTAAAGCAAATTGTAAATATTCAGAATAAATCTAGGAAATGTCAGCCATGCCACTTACCTTTCCTATGGTAAGTTGCAAACAGTGGCAACATTTTTTTAGTAAATGAAAAGCCATAATTGAGGGTGGGGGGTGGTATATGGTGGATATAGTTTAAAAATCCTTTATTAGATATCTGCTGAGTATAGAGCACTGAAAGGGCAGCCAGCAGCTAGAGAGTAATTGAAACGTTTAAGAGCAGAAATGTGACCTAAGAGACATATACAGTTTTACAAAGATAATGCCCAGAGAAGGATGCCCTGAGAGGTGCCGGGAACCCTTACCATCTACAGAAAGTTTTTAAAAGGGCCCACTTTTGAGTTTGGGATTTCCTGGTTCAGCAGCTTTTATCAATCATCCAGCTAAATGAGAAACCAGAACAGGAAATTCCTTCAGCATAGCCTGTGCTTCAGAATTATTTCCATTTAAACTGGTCACATGCCTTTTGTTCCTCTACCTTTTATTTTTCCTTTTTTTTTTTTTTTTAGGAAAAAAACCAGTAGGGAAAATTGTCCTTCAAGTATTCTTTAAGGTTAACATTACTCTCTAGCCCATAGCTATAGCTAGTATTTTTCAACTCTTCAGCCATTTTAGAGAAAAGGGGAATATGTATGTATCTCATGGATTCAGGTTGAGTCTTAGGGAGATTAGAAAGAAAGTTTCTGAGGAAACACACCCATTTTCCCATCTTATTTATTCTTGAAGATCTCCTAAAGGTAGCTAAAGTACCAGAAAATATTCTACCATCAAATATGTGTTTAAATGTATATAGCTAACACAATATGATGGCAAATCCAAAACACTGAAAAGGGGGAGAGGTTGATCTGTCATTTTCTGATTGAGTACCAAGCAAAGTCTTGTACAGCCTGTGAACGTGATTTGTTCTATACTGTTTTATCTGTACACATAAGCAAGCTCTGTTTTTTAGTTGAGTGCAAAATGTAGAGGAAAGATTGTTCATTTATAAGCACACTGAACTCCAGGTTCCTTTACCTCCAAGAAGAGGAGAATATCTAGAGTTTTTTTTCCCTTTCTGATTTTGGAGTATCTAGTATATAAAGACTAGTGTTCTTTGATTGAGTGTAAAAGAGAGGGAGTAAGGGGTGATGCCTCCTGACCTTGAGAAGAGGGACCTTCTGCCAGTGTGTGTGTGCTAGGTGATCGCTACTGAAAAAGCTTCATCCGATGCTTTCAGAAAAAAAAACTGATGAAGCCGGCACTTGAATTCATGAAACAAGAACAAAATTTTTCAGGCTGCCCCAGACACCTGCATTGTTGTTTTGTCTACTACTCCAACAAATTAAGGGGGCTTCTTTGTCTAATACTAAAGGTGTCTACAAATTCTCACCTGTCATTCAGATTTTTTTTGTTGTTGTTGTTGTGCTTCTGTCTTTCTCCTCATCTAGGGTGCTGTGTTAACTCCCTCCATGGACCATACTATGTCACTACAGCCTACATCAATGATCAGCCCTCTGGCCCAACAGATGAGTCATCTTTCACTAGGCAATACTGGAACAGTAGGTGGAAACTTAATATAATGCTGTGTATAGGCTAATGAGGGCTGGGCCCACAAAGAGAATAACTCCCTGCAGTCTGTATTCCCCTGCCCACACCCCCATTAGATTGTAAGCTCCTTGAGAGCAGGGATCCTGTCCTAGCCCATCTTTGTATTTCCCACAGCACTTTGCACATAATAGGCACTCAATAAATATTTGTTGACTGAATGAATTGAAGTCAATCCTGGATATTTTTCCTTGACCAAAATATAGAGCCTGTGAATGAATACTTTCACCTTTGCAACCCTGTTGAGTAGGGAAGTAAAGGGGATACACATTTGCTCCTTATCCAATCTGATTATCAAAAAATAATGATGAGGCCCAGAAAAGAAGGCTGGAAACTCCCTCTCACCCACTTAGTTTCTTCTTTTTGAGGAATAGGAGAATCTGAGGGAATAGGATTTTCGGTGGCATCTCATTTCCCCATTCTCTGCGGGGCCTGGTCGGTTTTCTTAATCAACAAAGATCCAGGACTTGGACAGGCACCAAACAGCTTCCTAAGAGGCAGAAGAAAGAAGGGAGAAGGCATAGTTTCATGGACATTCGCCTTGATGGCTTGACATTAGGCCAGAGTACAAGGGGAAGGTTAGATTGGAGGATACATTCCCTGAAAAAAGGTACTTAACTAGAAATAAGATGAAGACAGTTTTCAAAGAATAGTGGCTAAAGCCACCACAGACCGGGATGGGATGTAAAGTTAAAGGGAAGGGGCCCTGGATTTTTCCATTTCCAACTTCAGAGCCAATAAACAGCTTCTTCTGAAGCATGGGCCACACACACTCCCCTCTGTCGCTCCTAACAGGGACTGATGTTGATAAAAAAGCACTCTCACTTTTGAGGAAACACAGCTTGAGAAGCCCAAAGGTCAGAAACAGAGCTCAGATCCCTGTTCTTCAGAAACCTGTGAGGGAACCAATAAACCACTTATTTCCCATGTCCCTAAACAATTGAGGCACCAGTGTTTGCCATAGAACTATCTTATGGGCCTCTAAGAGGAAATTAGGGAGGTCCTTGGTTGGGGGAGGAATCTCTATCATTACATACTAGTGATACTGAATTGCTGAGGAAGTGAAACCTATAATGGGTTTCACAAAGGTGGTTTCTGTGTAGAAATTACTACCAAGGACAGAATTTTAGATTTTGTTTAAAAAGTTTAAAACTAGGAAACATACACTTCACCTTTCTACATTACCTTTTACTCTTTGGAAGAGCAAGACTTTGGGAACACTTCTCCCAAACAGGGTACCGAATGCTTTATTTCAAATCTCAGATTGTCCCAGGTGCTCCAAATTTCACACTAGATTTCATACCCAAACTTTACTCTTTCTTCCTTTCAGTACATGCCTGCCACAACAGCTATGCAAGGAGCCTATATACCCCAGTATACACATGTTCAGACAGCAGCTGTTCCCGTTGAGGTGGGTAATCCCATTAAATGGCCATTGTTGTAATGGGTAGTTTTGGAAGTGGGTAAATTAGTAATGATCAAAAGAAGATTGATCTCAAGTTGAAGACTCTGAAAGAGAATTTGATTTAGGAGAAATGTGCAGCTAGAGTAGAATTTTCATCTAAGAAATATAATACCCTGACTCATTGATTATTGATGGAATGTCATCCAGGCAGAACATCTATCTAAATTTCCCAGAAGTGATTTCAGGGATTGTAGCACTTTGCACATCTATTTAAGCCTATGTCTTTTCTTCTATAAAGCTATACCCCAGGCACACTGTCATATCTGGAGTTTAGAATTTCACCATTAAATATTTCCATGCTGCAGACAATCATCATCATTAATTGACTTAGACTAAAATGACTCAAAGGAAAATTTTAAGATATGTAACAGAATAGAGAAAACTGGACTCTTAAAAAATTACAAAGTGAATAAAGAACAAACCACATCTAAAGAGAGGGAGTACTTCTGTGGCTAAATAACAACTGCTAATTCTTGGTGTAGGAGAAAAATAAGAGCATACTTCACCAAGATGGAAACCCAAAAATCTTGGGCAATTTGAATAATTAAAAAAGATATCATCTAATCCAGACTTGCAAATTAAACTTAAAGCCCCAAGTCTGCCTTGATTCTCTTTCATATCCTTTTTGTCTTAAGTATCATAATAATATTAATAATACAGATTTCCATAACAATTTAACAACATATGTGGCACAAAGGAAAGCAGGTATTAGTAACATTAGAACCCCTCTGCCACATTAATCTTATCAATTGCCACAAAATTCACCCTGCCAAATATGGTTAGATGACAGAAGCACTTACCCCCAAAGATGGCTGATGCTATGATGCATCACACTTCCTTTATTCTGATTGGCTTAAACATGTGGCTAGTTCAAATACAACGAATAGAAAAGATACTGTCTCTAACACTTAAGGATTTTTTCCCTCAAGGTGCCAAGAGTATTAAAGGGTAGATGGAATATAAAGGCTAAAATTTTAAATCTGTTAGTATCTTAGTAGAGGACTGCCTGCTGCCTATGGGAGCAGAAAATGAATTCTTTCAGGGCAAATAAGAATATAAGGGGCACATGAAAGTTACATCACTCATGAAATAGTTCTTGCATTGGGTTAGTGCTTTTGACATTTGGACTCAAACAGTCAGTTTGATAATAGGATTTCATCTAATACATGTCTCATATCCAGTCTGCTTTGTTATAGGAGGCAAGTGGTCAGCAACAGGTTGCCGTAGAGACGTCCAGTGATCATTCTCCATATACCTATCAACAAAATAAGTAACTGTGAGGTATGTGGAAAAGTCTGCTATCACTCTAGGACCAAAATTTTTTTTGTAAATGCCTTATAGCATCTTTCTCATAATAGAATTGGCCATAACTTACATTTTTAAATGTTACCAAAAATTCAGAGGTTTTGGCATCACTGATTTTTACAGATAAACAGATTGATGTGTCTCTGTAATAAGAAAAAGCTCATTTGTTACATGTGTGATGTGTCCATTGAAAGAATTTGATAGACATGTACTAGATGTCTATATATTTTCCTTATGTCATAAGGAAAGATATGTTTTCCATTTTCACATCAAACTCATTTTAGTGTTGATATTTCCATGCTCATATTACATATTTGGAGGTTATCTGTCTTTGTATATATCCATATTAAATCAAAGGCTAAGTAGGAGATCCTCAGTCTGCAAAGCAGATTCCGACACACTTAAAATTAGGCTCAAATGACTTCCATACTACTTCATGGAATTTCTGATTTTTATCAGGGTTTGTCTCTTCTTCCACTGATGAAGATTACACACCCTCTTTTCCTTCTCATACTCTATACTTCTAGCCCTATCCTTCCATAGATACTCCTTGAGGAATCTACCTCAATGTTGGAAGCCTTTCTCTGATTCTTTTACTATTTCATGCAAGCCAGTGGAGTACTCAGGTTGTCCATCTGTTTTCTCATTCATTTCACATGACCTCATTGCCTCCTTTTATGCTCATACGTCTCCTTAATGATGTTCTTTGCCGTTTCTCATGTGCAAGTCATCATGGGTAATGCTGTAGTCTCCTTGCACCTGTCATGCATCTCTTCATTGCCTTGTGGTTTGCTTGCAACTTGATTGATTTGATACAGTGATTCACACATACAGCTAATCTGGTATTATATCAGTATTAAATAGATGGGATTCAGTGGCATTATTTAAAGCACTGTGTTTTCCCAGATGTTATCATGCCCAATCAGTTCTGAGGTCAACTCATTGTCCATCATCAGGACCTAACATATACAGAACTATACACCTAGCTAGCTGTCTAGCGTCACAGCATAATCTGGGCAAACTGGTTTTATATCCACTTGGTTTTTCCAGTTTGGATAGGTAGACTAATCTCTTTTCCATTACTGTGGATTTCACTGAGAAGACTTTTTATTATTAAGGAATTTAATGTGTTTTGTACAGTGCAATTCAGAACCTTTGGAGAGAACCTTGCCATCAAAAGGAAATCTTTACTTTGAACTCTATTCAAGACATCTTCTGACACTCGTGAATACCTCAGGGTATTATATAAGTTTTAAGATCTTATATAGTTTTAGCTTGTACATGGGATAAACCTTGTTTGAGACAAGCCTTCGAAGCTGATTGTTTAAAAATCACTACAGAGTAGACAATAGTATCTTATATTCTCTTTATCTCTCCAGTAGTTATGTAACTATAAAGATGTGTTCCTCTGTAAAAAATTATCTAGAAAAGCCTACCTGTTGTTCTATTCCAATTCTTTCATCAATGATATCATTGATGTTTACTCTTACTATGATTTTCCAGAAATAAGAAAATAAGAAGGTATTGTCGATGTTTTTCTAGGTTACGTGTGTGTGTGTGTTTGTGTCTGTGTGCACAAAAATATCATCTCTGGTCTTTTCTATTCTTTTGTAATCTTCCTCGCTTTGAAATATCTTGAAAACACAATCTCTCTTTTTAAATTGTTTCCTTCATCACAGATTTCTTCCATATATATTTGGTCAAGTCCAATCACTTTTGCTAATCTCATTTCTTTAGTGCCATTGCAATTTTCTCATTATTATGTATCAAGAAGTAAATCCAAATGTGTGTAGTTCTACTCTCATTATCAATTAAAATAGATCGCTATGAAAAGGCAACAGGTGTATTCCATTTGGAGTCTGTCATCCTACATGTTCTCAGAATGATTTAGGCAGCTAGGTGACACAGTGGATAGATAGAGTGCTAGACTTAGAGTTTGTTTCTGCCTCAGACATTACTAGCTATGTGACACTGGACAAGTTGCTTAACCTCTATTTGCCTCAGTTTACTAATCTCTAAAATGGGGATGATAATAATAGCATCTTCCCCGAAGAATTGTTATGAGGATCAAATGAGATATTTGTAAAGTGCTTTGCAACCCTCAAATCATTAAATAAATGCTAGTTATCATCATCATCATCATCATCACACTTAGCTAAATTTCTTACTAAGGTCTCTGTTGGCTCTTTTTGTTCTCAACCATTTTTGTTTTTAGAGATAATACCACCAATAGTCTTCCATCATCATCTTCCTTCATCATCTTTGCTCACAAATTTGTCCTCTAAACCATGTTGTCCTATCTCCCTTATCAACCAGAAGATTGAGTGTTTGCTGATGGAGGGTAGATTAAGATGCTCAGTAGTCTGTTTAGGAGTGCTTAAACTGCACTAAGAAATGATGATGACACAATCAATGTCTTTATTTTATCTTACCTAACCAAAATCTACCTTCTCTCTCTTCCATCTCTTACCTGAATCAAAAAAGAAAGAGTAAGTGACAAATATAGTCAAGCAAAACATATTCCTGCATAGGCAATTCTCTCTCTCTCTCTCTCTCTCTCTCTCTCTCTCACTAAAGATAGATATAGATATATACATATGTATAAATCTGCTCTCTGAATCAATCCCCTTTCTGATAGTATTATCTATTGGGATACCTTTTCTTCTATTTTGGTATTGGTTTTTACTTTCTCTCTAATCTACCAAGTTCTAAAGAGCTAAAAAGGCTTTACCACTTTTGATTGTTCACTGACTATTGAGACAAAATCAGTTTTAGATTTTCTTATTGTGATCAGTGTTCACCACATTAAATTCTTCCCAACTTTCTTCTTGAAGGAAGCATTACATTATGAACCAGCATGAGGCTAGTGAGTTTTGTTTCCTGTTCCAGTGCCATATATTCCAACGTGATCTTTGTTGTTACCCAAGGTGCTCAGATACTCCATTTACCTGATACCGTAGTATATATCATCTTAGTTCAGAGCAGTTTGTCAAGTTCTTTAAAGAATCTTGCTCTCTCTTCAATCTCTACAACTGATGCTGGCACATGAGCAGCAATATTTTTATGATCATTGGTCTGATTAAATCCATAAAAAGCATTACAAGATGAGATAACTAAGCATGCCTTGAAATATTTCATGCCACCTTTGAACCTACAATTAACCCAATTCTTTTAGAACCTTTAGAGAACCTTCAATTTAGCTACAATTTCTTTGTCTTCTACCTTTATTGATGATGTCATTATGGTTGTGTTTAGTTCCTCTGCTTGTTGGTCATTAGGAAAAGATCATAAATTAAGAGCACCATTAGTGAAATAAAACTACATGATATAGTAGAGAAATGACCTCCAAGTCAATAAGATCTGGTTCAATTCCTGCCACTTATTATATGAACCTGGGCAGATTACTTAACCTCTCAATGCTCTAGGTAGTAACACCCTAAGAATATAAATTGAAAAGAAGGTGGCAACCTATAGTACTGGAAGGAGTTTCCTCACCATTGATTAGTTCCCTATGCTAGTGAAATCACAGGTATATTCCCTATCCCTATAGATGAGGGAAATTGTTTTTTAATGATAAAATAACTATTCTTCTTCCCATTTTTCCTCCAATCTGCACTAATCACTATGGGTACAAAGGACTGAAGGTCATTTTTTATATTTGTCCATTTGATGAGTTGCCATCACCAAAAAAATACTCATTTTCTGGTGGGAAACCATTTGGTGATGGACCATAGCCTGATCTCTGAGAGCAGACATATAATCAGTCTTAATAAATAAGCATTTATTAAGCACTTACCTGTTGGCCTTGAACTCAAAGCCTTTTCAGTTTGATGGAACCTGCTAGGTTCTGCACTCTGGTCTTCAAAATCCCAGGGTCACCTGCTTAACACAATGAAACATCAGATTACAGAGATACCTTTATTCCAAATAAAGTGTTTCAGCCATTTCTACTGAAGAGCAGAAGTGAGGGAGTATGGTTGAATAAAGGTTTAATTTGAGCCCATGTGGAATCTTTGTGCATCAGACTATTTAGGTTACCATACATCTAAACCCCTATTTTATGTTATTTCTGGGGGTAAAATATCACATTCATTACTACTCTGTCAATATTTTCTATTTCGTGTAACATGTACAACTCACATTTCACATATAACACAAGAAATCACTCAACACACTGTATGGGTTTGTGGAGTTGACTGACAGAGAACGTCACACATATTCTGTGCTACCATAGTGATCAGTACATCAAATCTACACCGATTTTTAAATGTTACATTGCAAACTTAACCACATTCTGACAAGAAATCACTATAAACAGCCTTGGGTAAGATCTTGAAGGTTGTGTATCCCAAACTGAATGTAGCCAGGTAGCTTCTGATTATAGGATCATAGAGCTATATCTAAAATTGACAAAGTGCATTTGAGAGCAAATAATTCTACCTGGCATTTTATTTTTCAACATAATAGGTTATAATAAAATACAAGCTGTGTGGAGCACCTGACACCTCAGTTTTTGATTTGCACTGGCTTTTGTGTTTTTGTTATGTTACATTTTATCTCTAAAGCCCTCCATGAGTGCTTCATGTTTGGTGAGAGGGGGGAAAATGTTCTTAACAAGCCCAGGATTTTAAATGAAAAATCAGAGGCAACATGTTATCCAATGATGGTATCTTTAACTCTGGAATTGGTTTTCCTCTGTCCAGTTGAGCTCCCATGCCTGAAATGCATGACTTTTCCCAAAACTGTGGTTTTTTTTTAATGAGAAACAGGTTAAACACTTCGTTTTATACTTTATCAAGTCTACAAAGCAATTCTCCTTTTTCTTTCTTTGACTTTTCTCTTCCAGATGTATAGAGGAGTGTCCTTACCTGAAGAAGGGTGTGAAGGCTGAAACAATCATGGATTTTTCTGATCAATTGTGCTTTAGAAATTATTGACAGTTTTGCACAGGTTCTTGAAAACGTTATTTATAATGAAATCAACTAAAACTATTTTTGCTATAAGTTCTATAAGGTGCATAAAAATCCTTAAATTCATCTAGTAGCTGTTCCCCTGAACAGGTTTATTTTAGTA